ATTTGACTCTAAACAAAATTATAGTATTTTAAAATTGATATCTTATCTAATTACTTTAAAATTTCAGAATATATACAATGTCCGAATGTCCGTACGTTTTTTTCAAGCGGCCTGTTTCGCGAATACTCCGATTTCGAGTTCTGGTTTGCTCTGTGTTAGCCTCAAAACCAAGCAATATATTCTTTTGTTTCATTGACAGCCCGAGAAAACGAATGGAATTTGAAAAGAAAGACAATGGAATTGATTTGAAATCTCACACTTTTATTCAGCAGAATTAGGAATATTTTGTGCGCAAATGAGGCTAACACAGAGCGTTGGAGAATTCGAAACTGGATTATTCCAATCTGCAATTGCGAAATATGAACACACAAAAGAACACTGTCTTCCCCTTAAAACGTCATTAAAACATGTTAAAACCTTCATGACCTTGATGAATACTTCCACGAATAAATGAACGTGATCTTGACATCTAAAAAGTCATTTTTTATCATTTTTGTGACGAAAGGCATTGTGGGGCCTACGTTCATATGTCATGAAGTTGAGTGACGAACCGTAACATCCACTTGTAGCAGGCGTTCCTTACGAGTCCTTTAAGCTGAAAAGAGAAAATCACTAGAAAAAAGAAAACGAAGTGAAAACAGAAACCAAAAAGACTAAAAGAAAAAGAGCAAAAAAGAAAGAAGAAACGAAAACAAGAAACAAACGAAAAAGAAACAATACACAAGCAAAAAAGAGAAATGCCAGCAACAGGACTCGAACTCAGGACTTTCACTTCAGGAGAAGATGTACCCCCCCCGGAATACATAAGAAATAATGAAAATAAAAATCTAAAAAGATGGGACGATTCCCCCGAGACATTCTATGAAGCTGAGGCGGCGAATCGGCTTACGTTACGGTTAGAGATTTCGGCCCTTCCACGCTATCCCGAGTGAACATAAAACTTAGTCTTAACCAAAAGGCCAGGGAGTGAGGGGGTAGCCGCCCACTAGAGCATACCTCTAGCTACCCTCTTAGACCATCGTACTATGAAGTCACTAATAAATATCTAATATCTAATTGGGGTAGTCTATTCGGTGAAGTTCTATGCTAATATATGACGTCACCAAAGGAGTAGCGAGCCAATCAGAGCTCAGCTCAGGAATTAGCAAACGATACAACAGGCTTTGCATAATTATTCTTCAGTAGATTTATTATTTGACGCGGGTGGGGTGGGGTGGGTGCCGAGTGCTTGTTTGCGGCCGAATACCGATGTTCGGTGTAATGTGACGGCTTTCACCAAGCTGTTTTTGTTGTCCAAATCATCACATTTTAAATTAGTTTTACAGTTCTTATATCAGACAGGCATTACTAGTATTCGGATAAAAAACACGACAAAAATCTCTTAAAATTCTTAAGACCGATACTAGCTGTTGCTAAAGATTTGCAGGGATTCAACTAAAACCGGAGCTCGTCCAGAGACGTGAAAAATTTCTAAGTGCCAAGTTGATAAATGTATACTGTGCCGATCGAGCGGCGAAGAAGCTTTAAATCGTCAACTGAATTTGGTCAAAAGGAAGACTATCTACACCTAAATACATTAAAGTATCTTCGATTAGACTAAACTTACATTTTACTCTGATTTTGACTCCCGGACATATAATTTTTCGTGCCATTCTGTCCGGGAGTTCGTCTGCAGAGACGCGAAAAATCTAAGTGCCATGCAAGTAGATTGTATACTATGCCGAGCGGCGAAGAAGCTTTAAATTGCCAACTGAATTTGGTCAAAAGGAAGACTATCTACACCTAAATACATTAAAGTATCTTCGATTAGACTAGACTTACATTTTACTCTGATTTTGACTCCCGGACATATAATTTTTCGTGCCATTCTGTCCGGGAGTTCGACCAGAGACGCGAAAAATCTAAGTGCCATGCAAGTAGATTGTATACTATGCCGAGCGGCGAAGAAGCTTTAAATTGCCAACTGGATTTGGTCAAAAGGAAGACTATCTATACCTAAATACAGTAGAGTATCTTTGATTAGACTAAACTTACATTTTACTGTGATTTTGGTGAATCAAATAAATAAATGAAAAAAACAGATGAGATAACTCCGCAGGTCACGTGATTGCGAGAAAGCGCGCGCTTTTGATCGAGGGCGCCGCCATCTTGATCGGCATCAACAACGAACAGCTGTTCTTCCTTTGAAGAAAATAGTCTTCAATCTAAAATCTGAGGATCTCATCATGCATAAAATACCATGAAGCAAATAATCTTTCATGGAGGGAGGTTTTGGGTTTAGTTCTGGGTACGAAACCAGCCAGGTTAGTGATCAACAAGTGGAAATCAATGTTATGACAAGCTTAATTTATTATTTATAAGTTATTCCATGCTGAGATTTCCTTGTTCTACTCGAATACCTTCGCTGAGGACTTTAGATATTAAGAAGTATA